GCTGTTACTTACGCGAGATTTGAACGGGACTTACATAGGCGTCAGATCAGATGTAGGTAGGGCGGAATTTAAAAAAAATCAAAGTAAAATAATAAAATAAAAGGGCATTAATAACAAAAGTAATGAAAAATAAAATTAAAATAAGTTTATAGCTAAAATAATTAAAGCCCGCACACTACATCAGATTTTAATCAGATTGTACACAAAGGTTCATGTACATTACGAACAACACAAACAAGCAATGTATACTTGGAATAATATACTACATACAAACAGCATTGGAAAAAAGAAAATCTCTTGCAGATTAAATCTTTATTATTATCTACATTTTAAATTTTATGTTGATAGCATATGTATTACTGGTAGACATTTTATTTATTTTAACTTATTTTGTTGTACTGTGATAAAAAAAATTTATTACATGTAATGTGTAAACCAAATTTTCTTTACGGTGTTAATAAAGATTATTATAAAACGGAGTTCGAAAACGAGGACTTATAATTCGGTCTCTTTCCGTCCGTCCCTTCGGAGTCTTATTTCAGAATCCTTTGGACAGATTCTGTTCATTCTTTGCATGTGTCTAGTACTTTATGTGGGACATATACACTTGCAGTGGTTTAGCGGTTCAATTCAAAATGGCTGACTGGCAGCCATCTTGTTTTTTTTAAATGTGGTATCTTGGACATGCTTTTTCAGTTTTTATTCAAATTTGGCACATACTGTAAAATCTGTATTAGAAGCCGCGGCTTCTATTAAAATGGTACAAAGCAACAGAGGGGATGCGGCTTCTATTAGAGCATCTACACATAAGAAATGATGAATTTTTGGTTCTCAATTATTCAAATAGAATGCATGCGACTTCTATTAGGGATGCGGCTTCTAATACAGATTTTACGGTACTTTATACATGTTAGGATACATGTCCTTGACAATTTGTTTCAAAATCGGATCAAGGATGGCTGCTACTACTATATTTCGAAGATTTATGTACCATTTTCATTCGTATTTGGCACATACATCATACATGTCACTTTGTTTCATAATCAGATCAAAGATGCCCGAATAACGACAGTTTTTATTTTTGGCCATATTACTATATCTCTGTCACCCATGTATCATTTTCATTGATATTTAGTATGTCATAAATGGATAGATGTCAATTCAATTTGTGATTTGATCAAATATGGTCGACTGACGGCCATCTTGTTTGTTTAAAATGTGATAACTCGGACATGCTTTCACTTGTGATCCATGTTTTTCTTTGCCATGTCTCAAACTAGAGGGGTAGTCACGCAACACGTGATGTAAATAAACAATCTGTTGTATACACCACTTGGGACTCAAGTTTCAAGGACAAACTCGCGACAACCCCTCCACTTTAATATGATGAGCACAAAGAGAACTGACTGTGTCATTTTCAATGACTTGTTTATTGAATAATTTATGTGAGATTTATCTAAGTAAGGGAATTTTAATTGCGTAAATTATGTAGCTTGATTTGAATGTGTTTTGAATATGTGTGAATTGCCAGAAATATTCAAACTATAAATTAGTTATTCTACATATATAATGCCAATAAAACTAATATCTCATAGTGCAGTAGGTACATATTCCTAGAGTTTCCCAATTTAGCTATCTTTGTTTCCCACATGTGCCGGTACATGCCCCTTCCCTCCATACATCCTTTTACTATTATACAAACTGTATGTACAAAAACAAAAAACCCACCCTTTCCAACCCACATCTATTTGTTCATTGATACAGTGCATTTAATTGGCTACCTTACTATATTGTACAGGTCCTTGACATTTTTCCCAACATGTGTTCTTACCTACAGTGCATCTCTATACTGTATAATACTTTATTTTCGCTTGGAATTAAATTTCGCTATTTTCACTGAAGGAATGATTCAGTGAAAATAAAATCCAGCGAATATACTTTTTTTTCCTATATTTTACATTCAACTCGTCAAAAATCAATGAAAATAAACTCCATACAAAACACCCGAAAAGTCTTTTCAGTGAAAATTAATTCCAGCTAAAATAAAGTATTTTACAGTAATACAAAAACATTTTCTCAAACACAGACTTGTAATTCATTTGGGTTTATCAATGTCAAATAATGTATACATGTACTACATGACAGTGTGTTGTGGTTAACTGGTAGAGTGTCTGCTCATATGCAGTTGAAGTTAGAATCTTGTGTTTCATGTTTGTATATGTAATCTTCAATGCTAAAATAGCTCAGTGTAAGTACATGTAGTAATGCAAGGTATACATGGAGGCGACCATGCCATTATTATCACTACTTTAGATAAATCAATATTTGAATAATTTCTTCAAAGCTGGATTTGTTTGTCATAACAATGCAAAAGAAGGAAAACTAGCTGATATCCATTTCTGATCATCTTGCAAAAGAGTTCAAGGTTAATAATAATTTGACAAATTTATGTGCAACTTGGGCAAAATTATTAAAACAAAATTCTTTGATAATAATTGAAATTGATAATTAATTGAGAGTGCAACAAAAAGATTATTTTTAGAGAACATTTTAGTTGACATACATGTACCTTTCTAATAATGACATATCTTTATTAAAATCGAATATAAGGTTAGAGTTTCACCATAAACATATCTATAACTCTATGAGTAAAGATTGTAAAAATATTCCATTGTAGTTATTGGATTCAATAATGCTTTAAGCTTGTCCCACTGTGATGTTGTTTTCACAAAAGTACCTCACTGGATTACTATTTAGTACCACCAGTTAAATGCATAAGCAGTTAAAAAATGAGATTTCTACCATATTTAGCCAGGGAAATACACCTTAACTGAGAATCATAGTTTATCATAGTGAATGAAAAAGCAACCCAACCAGCAGTATTGTAATATATATCTCACTGTTTTGCAAACAAAATAGTGATAGCAGCTTACCATCGAATTAACAATACTGCTGGTTGGGTTGCTTTGCTAAATGTGGGTCACCCAAAAAACTTCAGAAATAAAATTACTGCTGACTCGCAGCAAGGTTTCAGGGTGTGTTGTTACTATGTAACCAATACCGTATCTCCATTGGCAACATAAAAGTCAGTCTTACTATAATAAGAAAATTAATTGTCAAGTCATTAATAGTTTATCATTTTTAAACCATACAATCCAGAACCATGTGTACTTATCCCATAGGTTAAAATGCAATTGTTCTACAGTGCTGTTCAAATGTGAGCTCAAGGAATTTCAGACAGTGTTATTTAAATGTAGATGTTATGTTTTACCTGACAAACAAACGTGTACAATAACTTGAATGACTTAGAACCCATGTTCAACTAAGCATTTCTATTCTGGGTTCACGTTTGATTATGCACCCACTCCCTCCAAAATGTTCCTTAAAAATGACTGTCCAGTCATAAACCTTGTTCTTTTATCATTGTTTTTTGAATAACGGTAATAAAACTTATATGATATAGTGTGAATATTGACCGCCAGGAATGTGTTGTGAAACTATTCAGTTACAAAACTTTCTAATTACCATTTTTTTTGTTTTTGTTTTTAAAATCATGCATTTTTTTAGTGAAATGCAACAGATCATACTTGAACATTGATGATTCACTTAACGTACTGTATTATTCCCAGGCAATTGCAATGTTAAAACACAGCATTCTGATTGGATATAAACAGACTTGACCTATCAGATCAAAAGCTGTTGCTGCAGGTCAAAGCGTGCAAGAAAACATCATGGGGAAACATGCTTATAAACAAACACATTTGACAATAAATTATGAAGATTTTGACTTTGTTGGTGTCACCACAGACCCTAATAATTTTAACAACGTAAATGCTGGTACATAATTAATATTGGAATAAAATGTATGTATTGTAAAGTAATGTGAAAATAAATGACAACACTACTAATTTTGCAATTTCACCCAAAAAGACGTAATATTCTCTTCAATCTGGAACATGGTGAAATAAAATTGTCATTTGCATACTTTTTTGAAGGGATGTTTGGCTAAACATACACCCCCCCCCCCTAAAACACAATTTTGGAGCAGAGTACCCTGGATTCTAAGTGGTACATGCATGTACAAGTATGGTATTTACATGCTCCTCCAACCAATGAACAGTTTCCTTTGCCTTATTTACCTTTTAAAAAACAAATATCATAAAAATGATTGAAATGTTTACAGATACCTAATGACATACACATGTACAAAGACATTAGACATAAATTGTGAGAACAAAGCTATTTTCAACATTCCGGACAAAGTTTGCCAACAGCATATTCTTTAATCAGTGTTACTGTTAAGCAAACCGATAGTGCAATCAGTTCGGTGACATAGTAGCGTTACACCATGGAACTAACTCGTAAGTTCCATGGTTACACGACGTTAATGGGGCTGACTGAACTCAGTACACGGTGACACACCCATCTAGAGTCCATAGATAGCATTATTACGCCCTTGCGATATAGACAAAATTAGGGTAACTAAATAAATAATAATAATACGTGGGTTATAAGAAGCCACTGCCTCTACACATTTACTGTGATTACTATTCTTAAAGACATAGACCTACTATACGATCCCAAAACTTTCCCAGGACCAAACAAGCAACAAACAAGAACAGACGATGCTTTTCGGATTAACGCCCCTGCCTCCCCCACGCTAACGAAATAATACTCAAGTCTTCTTCCGACTTACTCTTCCGTCACGGTCTTCAAGAATGCAGTGAGATAGTACAGCAGCCCACCTGAGAGAGTTAAACTATAAAAAAAATGCCTAAACATTATAAAAGAAACATAACTATGAGTTACCAACGAGTTCATACTCACTTTGTTGTCTCCCATCTTATAGCTACAAGGTATCGTCAGCAATAGCAGGCTTCAAAACAACGGATAACACTTTCGTTCTGACGTTTGGTGTAATGACGAAGACACGTTCGGCGACAATGCCACGAGTTTAGTTACTACAAGGTCGACTGTATACTGTTAGTCAAATCGAGGCATGAAATGCACACCGGCAAGGCAAAGAGTGGGCGTGTTCAGGCCGGGGAAAGTCTGACAGAACGTCAGTGGTCAACATTCGTCATATGATTTTAATTAACTATTCAAGTCCCCCGATGATTGATCCCACCTATATAAAGTAAAATACAATTATACGGGCACGACGTCCCGCACTGACAAGTAGTGTACATAAGCTAACAAAAATAAATAGTATGACTGACTTTACTTAACTTATTATCCGTTAATGCTTATTTAAAGTATAATTTAGCGAAATTAATAGACAACTATTAATAACAAAAGTGTCAATTCCTTTTTTTTTATTTGTATTGTTTTATTTTATTTTCAACGTGTCAGAGCATGGAGGTAGAAATGGTCAGAGGAAGCATAATTTTATGAGGCTAGCTAGGGCGCCTCAATAAAATGGCGACAGTCAACATTAGTGGCGGTGTGTGGAGTTCCCTGTTTCTCGACCAAATCAACAGTCACAGTGATCAGGTGAGTGAATTTTAATATGAACATGCACTTAAACTGAAAAATAAAATGTAAACATAGTTTTGATATGGTTTCATAGAGGTACATGGTCAGAGTCGCGAAATAAACACGACGTCTCAAAGAGGTGTACAACTTCCTCCTAATGGCTGCAGTTCCGTCGATGTTGATTTCGACTGTCAACATTATTTCACGTTTCGCATTCTGAGACACATCGACAAATAAGTAATATACGATCCTACAAACTTGTAGGAATGAACCACAGCTTCCTGTGATCTATCGTATTTTCCCTCTTTCAGCAAACTATAGGAAAGACTTTACTGTATCCCCACCTCTAATCCTAATCCTAACCCTAACCCGACCCCTACCCTCTATTGTTCCCACAAATTAATTGTATATTCTCCTCTTGAGGAGACGATTCACAGTCAATTCGTCCCAATTCACATTCGTCCCAACACATTCGTCCCACAAGTCGATTCGTCCCAATTCACATTCGTCCCACAAGTCGATTCGTCCCAATTCACATTCGTCCCACAAGTCGATTCGTCCCAATTCACATTCGTCCCAATTCACATTCGTCCATTTTTTTTAATTTTTGGTCAGCGTTACGATCTTGAGCAGGGTCAATTTCTATGCCAACTGTTACTGACACGCTAACTAATAACTCCACGTTGTGTGTACGATGTATTTGTATTTATTAACTAATAACTCCACGTTGCGTGTACGGTGTATTTGTATTTATTAACTAATAACTCTACATTGCGTGTGCGGTGTATTTGTATTTATTAACTAATAACTTGTACGTTGCATGTACGATGTATTTGTATTTATTAACTAATAACTCTACGTTGCATGTAAGGTGTGTTTGTGTGTATTTATTTATTAACTAATAACTTGTACATTGCATGTACGGTGTATTTGTATTTATTAACTAATAACTCTACGTTGCATGTACGGTGTATTTGTTTATAACGTCGGCAAAAACAAAATGGCATAATGAACAATTACGCATGCCAGTGCTTGACGTGTACGTGAACAGTTCGTTGTTTGGATTTTTTGTGTTTATTTGGCGAGTTAGTAGTGGGCTAACCTTAAATCTGACGAATCGATCGACTTGTGGGACGACGACTTTGGGACGAATCAACTTGTGGGACGAATCGACTTTGGGACGAATTAACTTGTGGGACGAATCGACTTGAGACGAATCGACTTGTGGGACGAATCGACTTGGGACGAATGTGATTTGGGACAAATCGACCGTCCCCCGAGGAGACTATACATGTATAGTATATTTTTCTAGAGGGCCATAAACAACGG